CATCTGATGATTGAATCGGTTAGTTTAGGCTTCCACGACATGCCTCAAGATGAGTGAGGATGGTTCTGAAGACGTCTGTCAAGGCGGGATACAAGAAAGGTTGAGGTCGCCAGCCGATGTTCACGTCAACAGTGACAATGCCAATGCAGTCTTCTCTCGGTTCCCGATGAGACCAATTGGCGAGTCCCGTCGAGTCATTAAGTCAAAAATGTGAATCTACGCAAAGATTGGATTCAATTAAGAGTTCGAGTGACTCTAGCTTGCAAGGTGTTGAAGGATCTCTCATCCAGGATGACAAGAAGTCTTGTTCTTATATTTTATATTATCATTGTGTGTATTATATATATATATATTTATTTATTTATTTATTTTACATTTGATATTGTCATATTTTGTGATAATCTGGGAGACTATTTGACCCAACCTGGCTCTGCAACCTGATTTGGTATGCCAATGAAACCGTGTAGAACACATTCCATTCTGCCTCTTCATTCCCAGTAGTCATGACAATTGACAAGTTGATTTAACGAATTGGAAATCGGTTCTCAATAATGTTCAGAGTTAACGACCTCAGGCTGAAGACGATCATGACTAGCGGAGCAGAGTAGGCAGGAGTGAATAGCTTCTACAGATCTCCCTGCCACCCCGACCGGGCTGCATCTAAAGGAGTGGGAGACCATACCATCAAAACGATACCATCTTGATTTTCACATCTACCATGAAATTACTCAAAGTCTCTTGGACACACAGCTTCTCTGTGTCGATGGGAAATAAGGAAATAGTCAAGACTCACTGACATGTGGAAGTCGGGGCATTCGAAGGGACGTGGTTGAAGGAAAAAGCTTCTGGCTCGAGGAGGAGACTGTGATCAGCCCAAATGTGGTCCGGCCCACCTCGCCCGACCCGGCCAAGCTTGATGCCACCAGCCGTATTCTCGTCGAACTTCTGGTCTCGACCAATCGTCAGGCCCGATGGTCCTGCCGAATGTATCCAAGAAAAGCGAATGCCTCGAAAGACACGCCATGCAAAGGCCTTAATCTCTCCTAAAAGGGTTCACAACGAAGCGATGATTTCGGACAAGCATGAAGCTGTGACCTTTTGCCTCACAACCTCCAGCATTTAAGATGCCACTTCCGGACGGATTTAAAAGATCTTGGCTGGCGGCTTCTCAAAATCCCATTTTCAGTAGACACTTGCCAAAGGGACAAGGCGTTCTGGATCGTCTGGTACAGCAGAAAGCCGAGGAACTATCAAACAAGCGCTGTAGAAGCAGCGATTTAGAATAGCCCACTCAAAATACAAACATACAAGTATTTGTCGAGCGGATTGGTACCAAATGAGGGATGTTAAGAAGTATCGGTCGGCTTGTCTTTCACACAAGAGTTATCATAGAATACTTACTTGACAGAAAAAAATTGCAAAATGAGGCAAATGTAAATGGAAGGCAGAAATTGGCGGAAACAAAATGAACCAAATAGGAAATTTAGAAATAAAGAAAAAGCAAAAATAATTTTCAAGCAATTACACTGAAAGAATAAGATGTTATAAGAATGACACCATATCTTGCTTTGAGAGCCATTACCTACAAACATAAGCGCGCACACACAAACACAATTACACACACATACATACATACATACATACATACATACAGCAGACATAAGTAACTCAAAGATGTGGGTGAATGTATATCCTTTAAAGGTCAAAAAAAAGAATGCAAACACGATAGTAACCAAGTGATAACAAAATTACAGGTAAAAACGTCAAAACTGAAATAAGTCTGTTCTGTCAGGCCGACATACACATACCCGCCAGGTATGTGTTAATCACCGTAACATGAGATCGTGAAAGAGTGGGATCAATTGATCAAACTATGCTTTACCCAGTGGAAAAAAGAGAGTCAACTCTCTTCCTGTCTAGAGTTGAACGGAGCTGATCACGAAGTGGATGCGGAAACCTGAATCACAGAGGACGCAAACAAAAAATGAAAATATACAGGGAGATTGCACAACGAGAGGTACAGAGATGGGTTGTTTTGAGTGGGGAAAAAACGGAGAGAATATCAGTAGACGTGATGCTAAAAGCAGAAAAATGACTAAATGGTCGACGAGCATTTACGAAGAGAAGCCGGATTCGATGAGTCCCTGTCGAAGTGTCATTGTTGAGGCCATTTCCATTTCGAGTCAATGAATGGGCGTGAACGGAGCTCCCGGGTCAGGTCTCGTTTGGATCTGTTTAGATGTTCCCATTGGCACAGTCCCCTTTTGTTCTCATGAAAGTATGCTAAGCTTTGTGTTTCTCTTTGATGAGGTTTTCGAAAATCTTATTCAATCGGATACATAAGCTGTGTTCACCCTATTTCGTGTAAGGCCATGAAGGATTGACCGTTGAGTTTTCCCACAATCATATGAGCAAACATGACCTTTCAATTTAATTTCACATAGCCTCGCTTTTCCAAAAGGTATCCTCATCCAGGCTGAACACAGCTCTTATGTCTGATTTGATGATAGTCTCGAGAACCTCATCAAAACGATGTGAATGTAATGTCGTTGATTGCTATAGCAAATACAACTTTGCTTTATTGACAATCCAACCACAGAATGTGCTAATGGACAAGATCCAGCCCTCCTTGACATTCACACCTGTCCTATGACTCAAGGGCACTCGTAGCAATGTCGCGTAGTGCCATCGTTCGAGTCTGGCAAGGATATGTGAAATTGAATGGAAAGACACATGGTCTACTCATACGATTGTGGGAAAATTCAACTACTACTCCTTCATCGCCTTAAATAAAATAGAGTGAACACAGCTTTTGCGCGTCATACTAAATGACAGGGATCATCAGGGCCGGAACATATTTTGAAACCCACTCCTACCCTACACCATCTACAAATATAAATGGATCTTCAAGAGGTATAGAATGATTCGGTTGGTCCATTTTCATGTCTTCCTAAGCCTACGACATATGAGTGTGTGTGTGCGTGTGTGTGTGTGAAAGAAGGTCAACGCAGTAGTACGAGTGTATGACACCTGACATGGGTCAGGATGAGTTGATGAGCAGTTAAAATCGAAAGCATTCACTCACAACCTTCGTTCTGCAGGTAGCTGCCAGCAATCGCATTTGTCAGATCTACCAAATCAGCTGATGCCTGCCTCGGCATCTAATCACACTTCTTGTGTTCAAGCTATTTCTCAATGCGTTGATTGTTTCGCATAACCAGCGAACTGATGGGATGTTCCCTTTTTTCCGTGTATTCATCCACTGCTGGTTTCTGTACCAAACAGCCTCCTCTATGCGTGCTTTCGTGTTTGCCTATCCCGTCCAGCGAGTCGGACGATTGGCCTCGCAGTCCAAAGTTGCCGGCATAAACACTATTCTTTAGCAACCTGGTTTGGAGAAATGTCTAGAACTCTCTTAAAGTGAGTACTACTGAGCAATTTGCTGAGTAGTACATGCAGTACATGATCGCAAAATAAAACTCGTGCTCGTCGTGAGTATGTGTAGGTCGTGAACAGGTCACTTGAGGAGATGTAGGTATGGATAATGTAATCTTCCCACAATTGAATGAATAGGCCTAGGATGACCAAAGTCCACAGTCAAAACAAGTAATGTACAAAAAAAGTAAAGAACTGGTTTGTTTGTGGAATCGAGTTGAGTCTGAAGCCATAAACTGGCAGTGGTATATCTTAATTTATGCATGTTACATCACCAACAAGCCCACGAAAATGGGTCAGAACTGATTGAGCCCAAAGTTGTTCGAATAGAAGCAGCTGAAAGCACTAACGAACCGATACTTTGATGTGGAAAGCAAACTCGTGTCTTCCGACTAATCCCTACGACTCTTGTCCACAGCGAAGACCTGCCTCGACCCTTTCGGCATAAGATGAACTTTGGAGCAAGAGGAGGCCCGCGTTTTTTAGTTTTCTATAAATACGCCCTAAGGGTCGATGTGGAGAGCAGTGGAGGTATAGCAGCCTAAATTGAGGGTGGTAAAGTGTGATTGGTATGGAGGGTAAAGCCTTTAAAGTTGAATTCTTCTCCTTTCATTCTGGGAACCTCAACTAGGAGACATTCCATCAGATGAAGCAACAAAAAGTGAAGTTGGTTGATCTCGTTGTCGCAACTTGGTTTTATGTCATGGCGACTATGTAGAAAGCACCTAGTCCCAGCATCTGACAGTGAAGTTGATACATTCTCAAACCTTTCGCCCGCATGGTAGTCGACATTTTCAGTGAGCTTTGCTATTTTCCGCACCAAGATACGAACTCTTGTCTTTTTGACGAGTTCGTAGCTTGTTACCGTGGGAGTAGGATTGCAAACTGTGAATCACCCAATCTAGCTTAAGGCCAGTCAAGTAATGAAAGTGCAATTTCCCCGTAACTACACACGTAGGCGATAGGATGCCAACAAATTGGTCGTATGCTTCTTAATTATCATTAAGACCTCAGTAAGAGCCCAGTTATACCAGGTTGCTAAGGGCTGAGAATAAAGTTTCTCTCATATTCATGTAGCAAACATGTCTTTCTGTTTATAAGCCGGCTTCGAGACTAAAACTGTAGATCGCCTGTATGAGGTGCATTCACTCAATTTCGCTTAAGATGACGAAAAACAGTTAGTCGAGTTTTCCACAATGCTATGAGCAGGCCTCATGTTTCCAGGCTGGTTTTCTTATCCAGCCTCGGATGGACTGTAGTTTCTGCCTCTGCCGGGTCTCATCAGCATCACCAGCGGGGTTCGAATCTAACTCGAAAGTATCGTGGCGACGCTACCACTCCACTACACAACCGCTTGATGAGAATACCTTTTGGAGAGCAAAGCTAGGTGAAATTAAATGGAAACATGAGGTCTACACATAGAATTTGTCATTAGAACCGAAGGGGCTACTTATATTCTGTATGAGTATGCTTCAAATCTATCAGCAAATCTTGAATATGATTCTTAGTCTCCAAGCTAGCTTAAGTTTATTTAAGTGATGATGATGCATTTTCCCAATAATTACATTATTAGGCGCCGCGATGCCAATGCATTTCACTTAAAATTGCATTTCCATCAAAATATCAAGCAGAGTCGACACACCAGTTGCTACGAATAACCACCCTAAGGGTCATCCAACTCCAGGTGTCTAAAAGACGCCAACATAGGCAGTCAGAGATGATGTATTGAAGCAGTTTGACCAGGATGGTATCACAACTGGCTGAAATGTCGGACCAGGTGCAAAGGATGATGAACGATGTGTAAATTGTACTTAGTGAAATTCCTCAAATAAATTATCTGTGGTAGTGACTTTGATTTATGTGAAAGCATATCTGATGAAAGATATGGCTATCAAAACCGTGATCCAATATAAATACACTGTATTTAGAATTATAGACACGAGATTAAGGGAAATTCAATTTTCTCATGAGGCCTACTCGTGTAATTGTAGGAGAAACTCCATTTTCACATAAGTTGACAAAGTTTATACAATTTTCGCTTACAAGTGGGTTTTTGTGAGTAGCGTTTTATCATATATTTGAAGAGATAAGGTGATTGATAGCCTAATTTTACCACAATCACGCTTTCATTACATTTCACATTGCCATGCTTTCTCAAAAAGTACTCCCATCCAGGCTGGACTGTACTGCAGTTTCGACCACTCCTGAACTAGTCTCATCAGCACCCCCAGCGGCACTCGAACCATGACATTGCCTCGTGCAATCTCGACACGTTAACTAATACGCCACATTGCCACGAGTGTTCTTGGCTCTCAGGGCACATGTGGATTTCAGGGAAGACCGGACATTTTGCCAAATCACATTCTGTGGTGGGAGTGTCAATGAAGCAAAGTTGTATTCCACATAACAATCGACTACATTATAGGCAGGCTTTTAAGACTAAACATCTCATAAATATGATCTACCGGCAATAGTTAAAACCTACAGATAAACGAAAAATACGTAATTTAGTCGATTATTAAAGGAAATATGATAAATACACCCTATATATGAGATTTGATAATTTGACTTGATCGGGGGTATGTACCGAGAATAAGAATGTGAATCTCCAAATTCTCCAATAATGCAATTGACAGACCTTAAGATTTAAGTAAATTTAACTTGACATCCCTCAATTACCACGTAGAATGGAAACGTTGTCTCTAAGGCAAACTTGTACGAGACATTGCAATCGAGGGTGTCGAGGTATAATGAATGAGTATGCTTGAAGCCTATCGGTAGATACTGGATAAGAACATGATTCCGCCTATGTTGTTGACCGTTGTGGTAAGACTGATGGTTGAATGTTCTACAGTGAAATCAGTAAGTCTCAAAATGCCAACTGAAAGTCTCAAAGCCTCGGAAACGGTTACACTATCAGTCCTCTTTCTGTCATTGCCTATCTATCTACTCTTTACCCCCTTCTCCCAGTCATGATAACTACTCTGGCAAACGACTTCAGACCAGCTGCGTTCTACATAGTCGCCCTGACAACAAGACCAAGTTGCGACAACGAGGTCAACCCACATTTCTAAATCGAAAGGAGACTGCGACCATAACACAGGCCCCAACATCTTGGTCTTCATATATTCAACTAAAGTAAAATAATAAGTGGACT